AAAGGGTATTTATTATCACCATAACTGACTAGCTCGAGTTTGACATATGTCGTAAAAGAGCAATACAAAAGTGAGACGTTTAGTACCGTCATTGCTTCTCTATATCTATGATTTGAAAGATTAGTATGGCCCCGCCTACTTTGTAACGTCACGGTGTGTGTTGCGCAAATTAGGCTGATTTAAGTTATTTTATCATTGTTTCACTACAATTCAGTGATCTATTATCGTGTGACATCTCTTTTTAGCTAAAGATTTTCAAGAACGCTTCTCACTTCCGCGGGCTCACTTATAAAAGCGCGCCAGAGCGCAGTGGCGTACCCAAAAATAGATATTAACACGTATAAAAACAATAAAATTATTAAAATTGATTTATTATTTTTATGTTATTATTTTAAAATAATGTGTTTTTATGAAATGTAACTGGGTGTTCACTGCACAAATGAACCAATGGAGAAACCGCCCCTGATTTGAATTATAAAGAGATATATTATTGTATGAATGGTTTATTTTAAACATTTTGGATTAGGGTACGACCTCCTTGCTAAATTCGGATCACACTTTGTTTATATCCCGAATTATTTTAAAATATTGGCAAGCCTGGAGTGAGCCGTAGTTCAAATAAATGTAAAGTAATTCATTTGAAATTTGATGGAAATCATTACATGATTTTTCCATGCCTTTTTGTAGCTTGTCTTTCAAAAAATCAAATTACTGATTGTGTATAGTCCAAAAATAAAAATATAAACACCACCAAATATTAATAAAGTATTAGATTTTTTAAAAAACTAAAAGGTAATTTCTGATGTCGCTTCCATATTATGTACTCTATAGACAACAAAAAAGGATGAACTGTAATTTAAAATTTTCAAAATGAGGCTAGAAAGGACAACAACTCTAACAGCCGTATGCATAGTCGATCGCCAGAGATTTATCTCGGCGGTATTACCAGCGATCCGCTGGCGAAAGCCCGAAAAGGTGGCGACTTGCTGGAGATTGTCACCGGCATGGCATCTCTCGCAAGTTTTAATGTTTCTTTATAGGGAAAATTTGATATCCGTTCATTGTTTTTTGAGTTTTAACCTGTCTATTTATTAAACTGAGCACGTGAGTTTTGTGTCAAAAGAATTGCAGAACGCTGAAATAACGACTATGCAATGCAAATTGGGGATCGCATATGCTTACAATATTTAAATGTATTATTTAACGTAAATTTGATTTATTTTATTTTTAAATAATATTTAACTGTGTAATAATAATGACTATCATAAAAATTACTTACTGGCGAGGTATTTGTAAAATAATAGTAATAAGTAATAATAATAGTAAGCAGTGTATTTCTGTGAGTAATATACAACAAACAAGCTGAGGATTGCCTGGTCCTGGGCGCGTCGATACTCATACTTGTTACTCGTCGGCTGTAGGAATCAGAAGTACTGAGCACTCTATAATATAAGGTACACAAAAATTTTCAAGTACTGATTCCCATCAGGATAAAGGTACTCAGGAGTACCTATTCTGAAAACTTTGAGTACTTAAGTACAATTTTGAGTATACTTTACTTATACTGCCCAGCTGTGCATAGTGTTTTCTTGTCAATAAGATTATTATAGATTTAAATGTACATTTTATAGTTATAATTAACCCGAGCAATTACCATTGGGCTGGTAGAAGCCCACCAAATGGCCACTTCAAAAAAATGGGGCAACTAGAGACTACTCTCGGCGGTATTAATAACCTGCAGAACTTTGATGATCTGAAAAGATGGATGTCTGTAGTTTATAGACACCCCTCAGCGTCAACCAGCGCAGGTTTTTGACGGGTTGATAACCTGCAGGACTTTCATGAGCTATGAAGATGCAGCTGTCTCTAAACATCTCTCAGCGGCAAACAGCAGGTTTTGACAAGTTGAGAGGCAGGTTATATATACCCCTGGAGGATGCACAATAGGCCTAAGTGAAAATATTCACCTTTCCCACCTTACAGATACAGATAGTTTATATTGTTAATTGAAATTAATGTAGGATGTTGCTATGAAATTATAATGTTCATTTTGACAAAAAATATCATGTGGTCCTATTTATAAGATGGCAGCAATTTATAAAATTAATTTTATTTAGTAAGAAAACTTTGTTCTGTATAATTAATAATAAATATTTATTATAATAATCAGTGTTTTTTATGTTTTATGGCTCAGATATTCACAATATGTCTTTTATGTGTTTTGTGTAGGCTTTGTTAATGTTTCCCTGTTATAAAATTGTTTGGATCTCTTAATATTATTTGACGATATGGAAACTCAACATTACAACACAAAAAATACGTGTTTAAAACACCTTACATAATATCGTGACTAGAAGTAAAATAGGTCATTCTTTTTTTTGTTTCTAAATATTCAAATGCTGAAATTTTATTTAAAAACACTTTTGGGCCACAACGATTATATTCAGTGAACACTTGGAAAAGCACTTTTGGTAGTCCTTATTAAATATGGGCGAGCAATCTTTATAACAATATATATCATTGGTCATATTGCGAAAATCACACCGTGTTGCCAGATTCATGACGTTCAATAGCTATCGAGGATCGGAATGCAGTCTATAAATATTTAACAATCGTTCTTGCAACCGGCTGTTAGTGTTTTGTTTTTAAAGCCAACTTAGTGAGAGCATTTTACTGTACATGGCGCAGCAGTTTTAAAAACAATTATTATATTTTTTCAATTAATGAATTTAATTAATTAAATAATTGTTAAAATAGTATACAAACCTCATTGGCGAAAATTATCATTAATGCCGAGGGTATAATAGGAGGGCTCTTGAATGGACAAGTTACGCACGAAGCCACGTAGCGACATCTGTCACATTTAGGCAGTATTGTGAGTGGTAATTTACGCAAAAAAGCGTGTTTTCATAGTGGTCGTGGAGAAAAGCGTAAATATCACATTACATATTTATAGTAGTTGTGATTATAATAATTAGTAGTGTTTGGAACCTCCTTACTGTATATAGCTCTTACTTGGCTACGTATACTTTAAGTTAAATTTAAAAAACTAATAGGTAAGAATTAAAATCCTCAACATCTGCCATCTAATATTCTAATAAATTTACCGCATTCAGGATGTATTCGAAATATGAAATATTGATTTTATAACCATAAATATCCATAATCGGAAATTACTCGAAATCTATGTCATTGCTTGCAGGAAGCTAGCACGGAAAGGGAGTAGAAACCACAAATCCAAACCATAATAATTATTACGATAAATTATAAATGAAATTATATGGAAAATTTTGTCTAATTTACATTCATATACAAGAAAAACTACGAGACTATTTTAAGTTTAAAACGATCGAATGAATTTTATTATTTATTCCTCTACAAGAGTTATCGCAGGAAGTAAGCATTTTCCCTTAATATATCTCATAAAAATATGATCTAATTGCGGAAATTGCTGATCTAAATATAAAAATCGTATTTCGCAAAGAATTTTACCATGGGAAAACGAATAATAACCATTCATTTATAACAATAAAATTGATTTCCTTTACTAATTTTTAAATTTCCAACCTTGACAAGCATAACTGTATAATATAACCTGCAAGTTATTCACGATGATTAAAACTGTTTGCCAGTTGAAGCTAAAACATTTAGTGGATGTACGAGGATAGTTCACGAATTATTGTCCCTAACATGGTTGGCGTTGAATGACAAATGGTGCAGTGTCAGGCAAAAGCTTATTGTTTGACATTAGTGTGTACCAATTAGCATCAGCGCATTGGTTCGTGTATGTTGAATATTATTTTTTTTCCATTGAGATGTGCGTGATTTTATAAAAATGGACAAAATTGAGATAAAGGGTGCAATAAAGTACATCTGTAAAAAAAGGTTATCATCGCAAGAAAGGTATAAGGACATGGTAGAAGTATTGTATGGCTCTGTCCCTTCGTACCAGGTAATCAAAAACTGGTCACGAGATTTCAGAACTGGGAAGAGAGTCCTGACAACATGCACACAACATGCAGGAGCCCCCAAAACTGTAGTGATCAAAGAAAATGTGAATTTAGTCCATGATATGGTATTAAATGACAGAAGAATTACAGTCAAGGCTATAACAGAGACATGTAGGTTTTCTGTTGGAAACGTTGAAAAAATTTTATATGAGGAATTGGATCTCAAACAACTCTTTGCACGTTTTGTTTCACGAATGCTGACGACAGATCAAAAGCGTGATCGCCAGGTTGCAGTCGATACAAATTTGGAGATCATTAACAGGAATCCCGATGAATTTAAGCGAAAATTTATAACGGTCGACGAAACATGGGTTCATCACTTTTATCCAGAATTCAAGAAACAAAGCATGTAATAGCGAATAGCGAAAATTTCGTGTTGTCCCTTCAGCTGGTAAGATCATGGCTAGAGTTTTTTGGGATTTTAAAGGTGTTATTTTCGTGGGTTATTTACTGCGTGGGCACATCATAACAGATGAATATTATGCGAATTTAATTCCAAAAGTACGCCAAGTGATCAGTGAAAAGAGAAGAGGAAATTGACTCATGGTGTGCTCTTTCACAAAAGGACAACGCCCGGCTCACAAAAGTTGTGTTGCAATGGCTGTCATTCACAATGCGGGATTTGAAATTTTTGAACAACCCCCTTATTCTCCAGATTTGGCCCCCAGCGACTACCATTTATTTCCAAAATTAAAAGAACTTCTTCGTGTAATCCGCTTTACTGATGATAACTAAATGATGTCGGCGGTAGATGAATGGCTGGAGACTCAAAGTTCTGATTTTTTTTAAAGGGTTTTAAACACTTCAATACCGATATACGTTGCAGGTAACTATGTTGAAAAATAAATAATTAGTTTTCATTCTTCTCATCTGTCTGCTTCTATGTTAGGGACAATAGTTCGTGAACTATCCTCGTATTTATTTGCAAATTGCAGTAGCGTAGTTTGCCAGCAAAACAACGAACCATTTTAAAGTGATACACATTTTAAAATGAAAAGTAAAAAAAAAGTTTTATAAATGTAGAGAATGGAGCCAAATACGGTTTAGAATTTTTAATATACAAGGTGGTTTAACGAAAATTTTTCATGGAAGTTGTAAGTATTAATATCGAAAATGGTAAAAAATGATCGAACAGGTCGATATCAGTTTGGAGGAAGACACCCTTCAATCAAAGATCAATCAAAGATCAATCAAAGATCAATCAAAGATCAATCAAAGATCAATCAAAGATCAATCAAAGATCAATCAAAGATCAATCAAAGATCAATCAAAGATCAATCAAAGATCAATCAAAGATCAATCAAAGATCAATCAAAGATCAATCAAAGATCAATCAAAGATCAATCAAAGATCAATCAAAGATCAATCAAAGATCAATCAAAGATCAATCAAAGATCAATCAAAGATCAATCAAAGATCAATCAAAGATCAATCAAAGATCAATCAAAGATCAATCAAAGATCAATCAAAGATCAATCAAAGATCAATCAAAGATCAATCAAAGATCAATCAAAGATCAATCAAAGATCAATCAAAGATCAATCAAAAATCAATCAAAGATCAATCAAAGATCAATCAAAGATCAATCAAAGATCAATCAAAGATCAATCAAAGATCAATCAAAGATCAATCAAAGATCAATCAAAGATCAATCAAAGATCAATCAAAGATCAATCAAAGATCAATCAAAGATCAATCAAAGATCAATCAAAGATCAATCAAAGATCAATCAAAGATCAATCAAAGATCAATCAAAGATCAATCAAAGATCAATCAAAGATCAATCAAAGATCAATCAAAGATCAATCAAAGATCAATCAAAGATCAATCAAAGATCAATCAAAGATCAATCAAAGATCAATCAAAGATCAATCAAAGATCAATCAAAGATCAATCAAAGATCAATCAAAGATCAATCAAAGATTAATCAAAGATCAATCAAAGATCAATCAAAGATCAATCAAAGATCAATCAAAGATCAATCAAAGATCAATCAAAGATCAATCAAAGATCAATCAAAGATCAATCAAAGATCAATCAAAGATCAATCAAAGATCAATCAAAGATCAATCAAAGATCAATCAAAGATCAATCAAAGATCAATCAAAAATCAATCAAAGATCAATCAAAGATCAATCAAAGATCAATCAAAGATCAATCAAAGATCTATCAAAGATCTATCAAAGATCAATCAAAGATCAATCAAAGATCAATCAAAGATCAAGAAAAATCAAATGATGAAGCGCTTGATAAATAACAGATATTCAATAAGTTTATCTTAAAATATCACATATATTTTGGAGTTTTTTAAAATAGAGATTACCTAATTTTATTTCTAAACTGCTTTCAATTCCTAAGAAGTTTCAGAGTAGTAAGATGTTAATCAAAAAACTTTAGAGAGCGCCGCCTCTAAAAGGTTTCAAATTTAAAAGTGGCTCGAAGTAACTAATTTGGTGTGCAAAAGAGATAATGTTGGCAAACAAAAAGATATCGATTTAAAAGTTTCAAACATTGTTGTGCTTCGACTGAAAAAAAAAAGGATCTTGTCTTTTATAATCCATTTTATATACAACGATTAGTTGTAAATGGCTCTAAAAACAAAAATGTCCCCATCTAGCCTAACTTAGCATTCCTTATATGGCCGGTAAACATGAGTTAATATACTAATTTTCATGAGTAGGGTCAGTTGTTCAATAGTGAACCACCCAATTTATTGATCACTATTGTGTAAGGTATATTCTTGAATCAAAAAAAATTTGACGTACACACAAAAAAAACGGTATGCAGCCTGAACTGCCCTCGCAATTCTACGTCAATGATTGCAGACAAAACAAAAACATCCGTCTTCGTGCTAGATTCCCATGAAATTCACAAAATATTTTAACCACTGGCATTAAATGAGGTATCGTGCAAAATCTAAAGAATAAGAAGCTATAATTAGCGTATAAAAGCGTTTAAATAACTTTGGCGAGTTTACAGGATATAGAGTGACTGACTATACCAAGGTTGTTTTTTTTGCATGTTAAAAGTTTGTCGTTGCCGTTAATAAGTTTGATGTAATACAGGGTACCCAAGAATATGTATAGGCAATCTCTCGTATTCAGATAAAACATTAAAATACGTCCGTCGACAATTTCTTTTGCGTTAGTGTGTACCCGGTACATGCTTATCTGTAAATTCCATGTAAATAGTTGGTAACAAGTTTGCTTGACCTCGACAGTAGCGCACTAAGCGCTTACGGTTGAACTACACCTGTCAGTTTCAGTCGATAAAGTAGAACACTAATAAATAAAGCGATTTAAATATTGGCGGGCTTGATAATTTAGATATTTGAAGCAATTTGAAGTAACATTTTCCTATTTGACAACTTTTACTTACAACTACTAAACAAACAATAAGTTTAGTGAATTTTTGTTGTAGGTAAATGTTGAAAAATGGAAAATATCTCTTGTTTTAACTGAAAAATAAAATTAGTTGAAAAATAAAACACATTTTTAACAAGTTTAATTTATTTAGAATTACCATGTAATTACATGTCTCATTATCTTCTAACTGCATATTTTAAACATAACAAGCACTATATCACACACTAAATTACTGAAAAATAAAAATATAATATGATAACCAGCATAGCACATGACAATGTTTTTATTATTAAAAAAACCGGATATAGTTTTTATAAAAAGTCAAAGTAGTTAATTTATAAACACAATTGTTTTAATGTTTTAAATGTCCCTTATTAATCCAAGGACAAATCATTCTAATTCTAATATTCTTATACTTATTGTCCCTTTAAGGCCTTTTCCCATCTATTTCAATCTAGAATAGTTGTAATGCCTATGTCGGTTACAATAAGCCTCCAGCTTCAATACAGATGGGCTTTAAAATCCTAATTAAGAAACACATTTATGTACCTACATTCTAAAAATCTCCATACCGAGGAATATCTAAAACAGAACAAAAATAAAGGTGCAGTGTGTATCTTAAAATTAAAAATTAACACGAGTCATAACTTTTTTAAATTCTTACATTTTTCTTGCAATAAAAGGTATAAAAATTTCAATAAAAATAGAAAACATCTGATTTATGTTCTTAATAGGTGAACTATGCAAAAATTAACAAGTTGACCTAAATAGCATATAAGTTTTTGAACATATTTGGGTATTATTTGATAAATATAATAATGAATATCACCCAAAAATTGAACAAAACTTTTTGAGCACAAATCATTCGCCTTTTTTCATCATGGTCTTTATGAGTAAAACTAGAATGAGGTTCTATCTCGGGTTCTACAATATTTGTTTGTAAATTGGCTTCACACATTTCGCTCACAACTCCTTTCATTTTTTTGACCACAAATGTTTAAAATGTGGATCCATTTATCTCTAGAGTAATAATAGCAGGAAAAACATAAAATTTCTTGTTAGTTTTGTGAGAAAAATACTTACTTCTGCAATTAAAATTTAAATGAATCAGAAGTTAATGATTTTCTTAAGAACCTCCCTATAGTTAAATTAGTTAAATCTAACTTACACATAATTAATACAATTTACTTACCTATATTTGAAAAAAATATTACCTGCATTTGAAAATGAAAATAATATCAGGCTGACATATTTATAGCAACATAACCTAATTTATTTTCAAAGCCAGATTTACACCATCTAATAATATTTAAATTTAGCTTTAACTTTAAATTTATTAACGATTATCCCTGTGTTTAATCACACATTATATTAAAGTGAAATTTAAAGGGGTAAATCCGTAAAATTATTGATTTCTTTGTCATTATTTTTGAAAACATATTTTTTATGGGTGTAAAACGGGTTTGAATTTAGTGATAGCAGCGCGCTAAGCGCTTACGGTTTAACTACCAATAAGGAAACAAGTCCCGCCATTTATTCAAACCTTCTCTTTTTATTTTTCTATGAGCTAAAAAAGCCAAATATTAGCTTAGTGGCAATAGAAAATCACTTTACAAAATCTTTATCCAGAGTTTTATTCGGGAGGGGGGGATTACCCCATTACCCCATTACCCTCGCCGTATATGCGCCTCTGCCTCAAGGCCGGTCTATATTTCCTTTTCTTAATTCTTAAAACTGCGTCTGTCCACTCATCAAAATATTAGCAGAATATATTGGGTCAGTGAAAAACGCACCGCACCCAAGAATACTACAGGGAGTTTCTAGCAAATCTTTCTAAGGAGCAAAATGTAATAAATACTGGAATAAATTCAAAAAATGATTTCCAACAAGCTTTATGCAAGGCACTTTCTTAAAAAATATATTTTGTTTGCTGTACCCCGCTATGATACACTTGAGTGATGTTGCCGCTTTATTTGAACATTGCTATGTTGGCGAATTTCGGGATAGGAATAAAGATAGTCTAGCTTTGTATTTGAGAGAATAAGCATTTCGGCGTGACTCTTTATTTTTAATTAATAAAATTCGACGTTTTTGAACTTATAAACATTTGTTTTCTTGGATATTCTTACATTTATATGAAGTGATCCACAAAAAAATGTTTTTGGAAAAATTCATGCAAGTTTTCGAAACAGTGACCAAAATATTAGGGGTTCACAATGACAGAATATAGATCTCAGTACACATTTAGGAAAAAAAACTTTCAATGTTTATAATATACTCGTACCTTTCTAAAAAACTGAAAGTTTTTTTATCTAAGAGATCTATATTCTGTCATTGTGAACCCCCAATATTTTGGTAACAAGCCGCTACTGCTTCCGAACGTATTATTCTTCTTTTTAAGTGTCGATTTGGATTTAAATCGGAGCCACGCGTAGTCATCACGGACATGACTCTTATCTCTGTATTATTTGTAGATAAATGAAGATACCATGGTTTATTTAAGATGTAAAGTGTGTTTATTTTAAAAACAAAAAACCAAGTAAAGCCGTTATTTTATTCCATCCGAGCTCGATGGTCACATGATTAAGAATCTACTGCTTTGTCCCACGAGGTAGGTACTTTTCAAATTTACCATTAGATGATATAGCTAGATGTTAAACGTATCACATCATTTACTCTCTAGTACCTAAACCTATAAATATGTTATCAATGGGACGTCTTCACACAATTTGAATTATATCCGTCGATGAGGGATGAATCGTACTTATAAGTTTGAAGGGCTAATGGATCAGGGGTGGTTAGACACAAAAATATAACAATTTTTTTCACTTCCACTAAATAAAAACTATATACACTTGTGATTACATTGAATGGAGATATAGGTACACCTCAAGATTTCTTTTTATCTGAGAAGAGCAGTGCAAATTAAGAATATAAATGTTCCATTTGGTACGAAAATATCAAATTTGGTACTCGATGTGATATGTAAGAGATGTGAGACACGAAAGTCTACTGACTTTTTTTTAGTTTTAATAAGTTTTTATATTTGATTTTCCTAATACCGTGCCAAAGTAGTTCTCCTATTCAGTGTAATCCATAATAAGTAAGAAATATAATTTAGGGAAACCACGGAAACCTATATCACGAAATTAGGATGTGTTGGTTTATCTTATAGATAATGGGGCTGAGTCCAGCAGATACTGGAGCTCAGTGGGGACGGCAAGTTGTGCTTTATGTTAGCCTATTTATACTTCTAATATTAAGATATCAATAGCTTGGGCTTGTCTTGAACACCATTGGCTAGACGTTTGGTGAGACGCTTCATGCGATTGGTTAAAAGTAGCGGGAATTTAATGAGAGAATTTGCTTCGACATGGAATCAACTCGCCACATTCTAATATGTGAAAGGGTTCGTTTTAGTGCCTTTAGTGTTTAAATTCGGACAAATATTTAAACACATACCTACCTATAGGTGTTTTTTGAGGCTCAATAGGAACATTTAAAAAAAAGTGAGATGCAATAACTACTGCAGAAAAAAAATGATTAGTTTAAAAAATCTATACTATATAATCCGTATTCACAAAGTATTTTTAAATAGTTACCTAGTCCCTCAATAGATCTGAAAAGGTCGCGGTGGACAAAGACAATTAACGTCCAACTCCCAATCTAATCTAATCTAAATAGTTACCTACATATAAATCCTAAAAGACAGAAACGTCAATTTAAAGAAAAAATAGGGATGGACGATGGCGTGATTTTTCAATCACACTTTGAATTGTTACTGTAGTTAGTAAAATTCAAATAAATGAAGTTATGTTTCCTCAAATAGTTTTAATATTCCTTAATATTTTTCTGGCTTTACTTGCAGGCAAA